ATATATGGGTAACGTTCCTCTTTAAAAACCATGTGACTTTATTATGACCTTAATGACAAAGAAGACCCATTTGAAACAAAGAACAACTGTTTTATCTGCCAAATGATCTAAATATTTCTTCTTACATACCCTGGCAGAAATCATGAAATATTGGTATTAATATGGAAAATTTGACTGATTATCCCCAAAAACTGTCTTTTATTTAAGGATAGTGATCATATGAAGCCATTTATTATCACATAGTTGTTTGGCTCCTTTGTAAATCATAACAGAAATTACCCAAATGACCCTGATCAAAAGTTTACATACCCTGGAATGTTTGGCCTTGTTACAGACATACAAAATGACACAGGTTAAAATGGCAATTAAAAGGTTAGCATACCACATCTGTGGCTTTTTAAATTGCATTTAGGGTCTGTGTATAAAATAGCCAATACGTTTGCTAGGTCTTATGTGGATGCACTGAGGAGGTGAAATACTAAACCATGGGGAGCAGAAAAGAACTGTCAAAACCCCTGTGTAACAAGGTAATGGAACTTTTTAAAGATGAAAAAGGATATAAAAAGATATCCAAAGCCTTGAAAATGCCAGTCAGTTCTGTAGAGCTTGTACTTGCGTTATATATTATATATTTTTTTTAGTTTAATCGACTTAATCGAATAATTGTTGCAGCTCTATTTTAATCAAAACTAGGGATGCACCAATACCAGTTTTTGGGTATCGAGTATGAGTACTGATATTTTGCTTTCGGTACTCGCCGATACCAAGCATCAGTGCTTCCGTTGGCATGGAGCATGCTTCCCGGACAATCAGGAAGCCGAGGCAGCAGGTAATGACATGCTAACCCGCTTCCTGATTGCTAGACAGACTCGGCTGGCTTGATTGTGATTGGCCGGTAAGCCGGCTTCCCAGCTAATCAGGAAACTGAGAGGCAGGTCATTGCTGAGAGGCAGTCGCTGCTCTGCTTCCTGATTGCACAGGAAGCTGGCTCCATGTTCCCCTATGACACTGCCGGTCAGAGTAAATCTTCCGCTGACTGGAAGTTCCGGTATTGGTGGGGAAGGTATCGGAGCATTTGGGCGAGTACTCGTCCAAATACTGTTCATTGGTGCATCCCTAATCAAAACTGTATTTGAATGTGCTAAATAGTGCTTCGCGTTGGTCAGCGTGGGAAAGTGAACTTACCCTTTAATGCACATTGTGTGTGTAGGAGAGTTCTGCTGTCTGGCTACCACAATATGGCACACAGTGGAATGGCGGCATCACTCAACGCGCACACACACAATGTCCCAGGCGTGCGCTTATTTGCATGCAGATGGCGGGGGCAGCGTGGGTTAGTTTTAATTTTTTTAACTTATCACTTTTTTTTCCCCACTTAAATTTTATTCCTATCACATAGGGGCTTAAAAGTCCCTATGTGATAGTTTGGAAGTGACAGGTTCTCTTTATGGAACCTGCCATCCAACACACAACAGAACAGATGTTCTGTGCAGTTCCTAACAGCTGAGACAGGTGGCGCTGTGATTACAGAACGGATATTCTTCGTCGGCTCTATGGTGAGCGGGGGACCCCGAAAACCACGGCAGGGGTGCGGGCAGATACAAGTGATCTGATCAGATAACATGTATAAAAATGAGCAGCAGCTCCCCACTGTGCATTTAGCTCTGCTTTTCCGAACACTTGAACACCACAACTTGTGCTTACAGCGCTCCAGTCTCAGTGATCACACAGTCCGTTCTTCGTCTGCTCTACGGGCTCTATGGTGAGCTCATGTGCCGTAGCAATGCGCTGTGGTTCCAACCTCCAAAGAGGTTCCCACCGCACTCCATACTGGTATGTCCCTTTTTAAAGTGGGGGCTGCAGTGATGGTGGATGGCGCCACTTCAAAATCAAGCGGCTCACGAATACGAGCTGACACTCACTCCCACACATAGCATCCATCATTGTCAAGTGATGGTAAGCTGACCAAGGAGTATCCATTCATATACACAGGCTGTGATTTGTTTGCTGGCTCTTTGCAAGTGGTTTATTCTGAAATGGGAATGTGACGTCAAGAGAGTATGGTGGGGGCGGGGCTATTTTGATTTTTTTTGCACTTAGATTTAAACTTGTCATGTACTATAACACAGGGCTCAAAATTTCAAGTCCTGAGCTACTAGCCAGGCCTTAAGAGTTACTCGCCACCAGTTACCCCACCTAACCGCTACCGTGCCCCTGCCCTAACTACACATTGTCATGCCCGATGAAGGGACCCCGAGTGGTCCTGAAAAGTTGCTTTATGACGTGATGTGTGTACATCAATAAAATGACCACTCATTGAAGATTTTACTTTGGTGTGGTGGTGATATACTTTACTATGTGGTTCCAACCTCCAGCCCCTATATCATTAGAGGAACTGTAGTGGCACAGGGGTCAGGCAACAGAATGACAAAGCACAGCAAGGGACATAGGCATCTGACACTCCTGGGAATGTCCAATGTTAACAGAGGTTGTTGAACTTCAACAGAGCAAAAATAGGAGACACAGGCTGCCAGAGAGCAAAGTAAAACCAGCCTTTCCTCTACTTTTTTCTCCACTGTCCTTTAAGCTGCCTTATTTAATCTATATATCTGAAAGATCAGCGCTCCTAATCTTACCCATCTCAGAATATTTAAGCTGCTGTGCAAAAAGCAATAAACTTCTTTCAATAACAAAATGCCCAGCGATAACAATATAAATCACATATTAAAACCAAATAAGTCCTTTAAATGTTCATGAGTGTATTCAGTGATCCACAAAGTGCAAGAGTCTCTCAGACGTAATGTGCAAAAAGGTACTCTTAAGTGATCCAGGGGTGTAGACAAAAAAAAAACTACTTGTCCAAGGGCTAAAGCGGGGGCCGAATCTACTTGTCCCTCATAACAATCTGTTTGTCCCAATACAGAAAAATTGTGTTAATCAAAACTAGGGATGCACCAATGCCGGTGTTTGGGTATCGAGTACCGGTATTTTGCATTCTGTACTTGCCGATACTTCCGTTGGCATGGAGCAAGCTTCCCGGCCAATCAGGAAGCCGGGCAGCGGTTAATGACATGCCACCCGGCTTCCTGATTGCCCGGGAAGCCGACTCCATGTTGTTTGGCTAGCTTGATTGGCTGGGAAGCCGGTTTCCTGGCTAATCACAATCAGCATCCAGCCAGCTTCCCGGACAATCAGAAAGCCGGGCGGCGAGTAATAACCCGATTGGCCGGGAAGCCAGCTCCTTGTTGATTGGCTGGGAAGCCAGCTTCCCGTCCAATCAGGAAACCGGGAGGTGGGTCATACACTGCAAGCTGGCTCCATGTTCCCCTATGGCACTGCCGGCCAGAGGAAATATCTTTCTCTGGCCGGAAGTTCCAGTCGCCCAAATACTCTATCGGTGCATCCCTAATCAAAACTGTATTTGACTGTGCTAAATAGCGCTTCTCATTGGTCAGCGTGGTCACCTGACCACGCTGGCCAATGAGTGCTTCCAATTTGCTTTAGCAATTTTTGTGAGTTTTTAAATAAATGTATTAATTTTACAGTACCATGCTGTGGATGTTTTTAAATATTTTTTATGAGCATTTGATAAATGGGAAAGGAAGGAGGTAAAGTGGAATACTGGCGGTACAACATTCAAGTGGCAGACTGTGATCTGATTGAGCGCTCTAAGACCATTTTTTCTTAATGGCCCACCCTGTCTGGTGATTGCAGCCTTTGTCAGTGGGGTCACACACGGATGGGGAGTGTGATCACTTAAAAGTACCTTTTCGCACATTTTCAGCTGAGAGACTCTTGCACTTTGTGGACCCCTGAATACACTCATGAACTTTAAAATGACTATATTGGCTTATTGGATCAGCTAGAACAGTGTGCTGCACCTCTAATGAAAACCCACACACATATAAGGAATATAGATGAGCATACATACTTACTGAACTTTAACCGGGGGTTAGCTAGAAGACTGCTGGTAACTGAATATGTCATTCTAGCCTAAGTGAGAATCCAGTAAGTGTGGGGATGTGTTCCCCAAAATGTCTTAAAAAGGAGTACTATTAGGCGAGTGAAAATCACTCAGCCTCATGGTTCTAGCCGACCTGTGACAATGAAACAGTCACACGACGGCTCAATAGATTGGGAAGTGAGTGAACACATACCGTCGCTCGCTCACTTCTCGATCTATCCCGGCAGAGAGCGGTGACTGTCACTCACGGCTCCCTGCAGGGATCCCCCCCCGATCATCCAGAGCTGACTGGCGGAATGGACGGGGGAGGGTACAGCTGGCTCTGCCTGTAGATAGGCAGAGCAAGCTGTCACTCACGCAGCTGGGTGGATCCAGACAGTAATGTCGGGATCCGTCCCGGCGTCTCAGTATACTGCGAGCTGCAGCTCGCGGTATACTGAACTTTGGGTGACGGGAGGATGCTAGTTTGTGTCCTCACGTTACCCTCACACCTAGAAAAGCCCTGACCCCATAGTTCTTCTTTAAGTTTTTAGAGAGGAGGGGGGTAGGTGTGTAAAGACAGAAAGTGGGTGGGGAGGGTGACATGCCACATCAGCAATGTGTAGCCAACAGTGAGCCTGTGCCACCGATCACACAATATTGATGTTTACATGCTGGCCCTGAACAAGTCACTTAAGCAGTGCATGCGCAAAATGACCGCGGTCAATCGTGAACAGCTGGCTACAGCATTTTCTGTCCGTACATCTCTATAGACAGAAAAAGACAACTTCTGCGCAGTACAAATGATGCTGCATGCAAACACACCCGTGTGTATGAGCCCTGAGGTTTTATTCCCCCAAGCATCAGTGTAGCCAAGCCATATAGAAGCTTTTTCTTTAGTACATGCATTTTTTCAAGTGTTGTTACACATGACTTGTAGTACAGGAGCAGAATTGAGTGTTGCTGCCCCATAGACCATATAATGGGAGCGCCTGATAAAACACACCGTTTAGATCACTCCCATTGAAGTCTATAGGGGAAATTCTGAAAAACTGTAGCAGACAGAATCCGGAGCAGTTGATCATGGCAACCAGTCAGCGTTTCCCTTTACATTTTCAAAGCTTAACTAAACAAATCAGAAAAAGGATGCAGACTGGTTACTATGAGCAACTGCTCCCGATTTTGGCAGTGGCAGTTTTTATGAATTGTCCCCCTAAGAGGCCAAATGCACGATTCTGCCTGAAAAGAAGCTCTTGTACTTTTTTGAGGATCACATGTCTGGCCTCAGGTGTGAACAGGATCCATTGAAAACAACGGGATTCCTCTTGTTGATCGTTGTCACTCCTAGAACCAAGGTTGGAATGAGGCCTCAATGCAGCTGGGGGATATTACTTGCCTACACTGAATGCTTAGGTTAAGTTGGAACCTTACAAGGAAAGGCTTAAATGTAATATAAGCTTCCTTACGAAATGACTACTCTATAGCGGAACAACAGCCTTCATTTCATAAAGCATGTGCTACTAGCACGAACTCCTAGTAAACGTTCCCCGGACCAACTACACGTACCATGTTTCACTTTGTCCCGCGTTCCCGGCAGCCACTTCCTTCCCGTTGCTCGGACAACTGCGTACGTTTGATTGACATAACGTTCCACCTACCAAAGAGCACGTCTTACGTCCACATGACAGCTGTCCGCATACGTGCCAGCGTCTAAACGCTAGAGGTCGGGCTATAACTGGTCTGGGGGCCATGTTTCATGAGATCAGATCCTATTTGTGGGGTATATAGGCAATGTACACAATACCGGTATTAAATAAAACAAACACAACAACAATAATGCAGATACACGAACACGCGGAAAGAATATTACAGACAGAAGTTCTTCGTCTGGGGGAGGTGAAAGTGTGTTGCTCTATAAACTACTAGTCTCCAGTTTCTGACTTTGAAACTGCATATGATGTTGATTTTATATATATATATGTTGTTGTTGAGGGGGAATGTATAAAAGCTGGAGCATACAGAATCTGGAGCATCTGGGAGAATCTGGGGCGGGGAGGGGACTTTATCAAAGCAATTACAACAGTTTTAGCCTCTTAGTTTTAATGTGCAAATCTGTCTTTTAAGCTCTTGCCGTCTGCCAATTGTAAAATTACGGGCGGACAGCGGATTCTTCCCGGCGGGTGGATGTACATGTACGTGTTTTTTTTTTCTGCTCGTGCCGCCCCCTGGCAGAATCCCGCCGGGAAGGACAACAGCCATTACCGACTGTCTCATACAAGCGTTCGGCTGGCTCTATACCCGGCCGATCGCTTGTATGACCTCGCGTAGTGCAGGCCCTCCCTTTCACTGTCGCGCCCGGGCTCTCAAGTCAGAAGCGATGTGTATTACATCTCTTCCGCCTTTAGTTGTCATATCTCTGGCTCGGAGCCAGAGAAGAAGCTGATGAAGCAGATTTCTGTTTCATCAGCTTCTTTGGGGTTCCCTAGGTGACATTAGGGGTCTTGCTTCTCGGCTAAGATCAAGTGTAGTATCTGTTCTTATCAGTTTTCGGTGGGGAAATAGGGGTCTTGGGGACCCCTGATGTCTCCATTAAGAGGGCCTGTAATTTTTTTTCTAGCTATCACATTGGGGGCTTTTTAGCCCACTATGTGGTAGCAATCAAGTTAAGTGTAAAAAATAAGTTAAAAAAAACCCCAAAAAAGTTTTAAGTCCCCCGACCCCGCACGCACGCATGCACGCACTTATATACTTAAATACACGTCGGGCACGCCTACGTGCAAAAACAACTATTGCGCCGCACATGTTACATATCGACGCGAACGCCGCAGTGAGAGCAATAATTCTAGACCCATCAATCACTGATAACATTAAACTGATGAGCAGTAAAAGCTTTTAAAGCATTGCCTATGGCCAATTTTAGGCATGGTAGTTTTTTGCGAATTTGCGGGCGCACGCAATTTTAAAGCTTGACATGTTTGGTGTCTATTTACCCGACGTGACCCCGTCTTTTATATTTTACAAAAAAATTGGGTAATAATAAATGTTTTATAACATAAAGTAGGGAAAACTGTTTTTCTTTCAAAATTTTCGGTCCTTTTTTCGTTATATAGTAAAAAACAAAAACCCGTAGTGGTGATTAAATATCACCAAAAGAAAGCTCTATCTGTCCCCAAAAAATGGTATAAAATTCATTTCAGTACAGCGTTGTATGACAGAATAAACGTCAGTCAAAGTACCTCAGCGCTGCATACTGAAAAATGGCCTGGACAGGAAGGGGGTTTAACACCCCGGTCAGCAAGTGGTTAACATGTGCCCCTGTTTTTACCTGAGCTTGCACTACTTTTCCAACTGCATGTGTTTTGCCCGTTTTGCCCAAAGCTTGCACGACTTTCCCAACTGCATGTGTTTTTAGCACGTGTTTTGCCCCTGTTTTGACCAGACCTTACACTACTTTTTCAACTGCACCTTTTTTGCACCTGTTTTCATTTGCACTTGTTCTGCGGCTGTCTGAAACTGGAGCATCACCTAAGAAAACAATCACAACTTAAGAAGTCCAAATGACTAAAGATGGGCTCGGGCGTGTTCGCAGCTCCACGTGCCAAGCCCGCCAGGAAGCTGACAGGGTGCCATGCCAATCACAGGCACTGAGACATTTCCCGATCTCTGCAGCTGCGGACCGGGAAAATGTCTCAGTACCTGTGATTGGCGCTGCCAATGTGGAGCCTCGAACACGCCTGAGCCCATCCTTACCCATGACCACTTCAAAGTCTGTGTGGTAAAATGGCACAAAATGCACACTTATTTTGTGTTATTTAGGTGTGAATGAGGGCTAAAAATTTCCTCAATTACAGGCAAAGGTTTTATTGGAGCCCAGGGAACATCTCCAGCCTTACTAACCCATTGGCAGGTAACACAAGACCAACTATAGTGGATATGTCTGTTAGGTCATAAAAAATTATGCATCACTCAGTCCCTGGTCTTAGTGACTCCCAAGTGACCAGTGGCGACTCTAGGAACAATATATAGGGGGGCACATAAGATACCATAGTCAAATCTGGGGGGGCACTAATAATTTTCATTGCATGGGCAACCGCAGGGCCCCGAGAGCTGATTTAATTGCGAATGGCATCTGCGCCCTGCGGTTCCGACATGTAGTCCAACGCCGCCCACAATCCTGAATACCACAACCGTTTATTTTTTAAAAACTTTTTTTGTATTTTTTTATTAAACTTAATTTTTTTAAACATTTTTACCTTTTATTTATTTAACTTTCTTTTTTTATTTGTTTCACTTTTTTTTTACATTTGTATTTATTTCACTTTATTTTTTTTACATATTTTTTTTACTTCTTATTAGTTTAACTTTATTTTTTTTACTTTTTTTTAATCTTAGTTTATTTTATTTTTTTAAACTTTTCTTTTTTTTACTTCATTGCTGGGAGCAATAGCCAGCCTGCTATTGGATATTTCAAATTGCAATAGCCAATAACAGGCAGTCTATTGCACCCACCCACTGCCTGCTGTCAATCAGCAGAGGAGGGACCTGACGTTTTCTATCAGGTCCACCTGTTGATTGACAGCTGACAGTGGGCGGGTGCAACAGCCAGCCTGTTATTGGCTACTGCAATTTAAAAGAGCCAATAGCAGGCTAGCTATTGCGGTCAGCTGCTGGAATGAAGACGATCGCAGACGCGGCGGAGAAGTGAGTAGACAGCGGGGGCGGGGGGGGGAGCTCACAGGCTGTCGGAGGGTTCTCCTTACAGGCTGTAATCGACAATCTGTCCCCACTGACACAGATCGCTACAGCCTGTAGGGAGAAGCCGCTGACAGTCTGTGAGGCTGCAGCGGGGAGAACCCCTGTCCCAGCAGATAACTGTAATAACCGTCCTGTGCACAGTTATCTGCTGGGACAGGGATTCCATTTCTCTTGCCTTGCGCTAGCGCCGGGACTGCTGCCACTGTTAGCGGTTGGGCACACGGTGGGCAAGTGATAACCTAGGGGGGGCAATTGCCCCCCCTTGCCCCCTTGTAGCGACGCCACTGCAAGTGACCCAGTAGGAAAATATTGTGAACCACCGTGAACAAGTGTACCCTAAATTGGCTGGGTACAACAGGCTGCATTTTGACCATTTTGGTTTCTTTGCCTTCGATGGGGAGATCTTCTCTCTACATCTTTCCATTGCTTCAGTAAACTTTATTGTCTCCCTGAGGCTAGACATCTGAGCTTCTCCAGATTCGAGTTAGGTCTGCAGTGCTTGCTCAAAGGTCGCACTAGAATTCCCTACCAACCATCCTGTAGCAAACAAAAACAGCAGCTAAGGCTTGGCAGAGGCTAAATCCGCTGGATCTGAGCAAGGAAAAGGGCTATGATTACCATCTCCCTGCTCCCCAAGCAGGGATTGCGCCTACAGCTTTTGCAGCACTACGAGTGACCAATAACGCCAACAATACATTGCCAACAGATGCAACTATTACATTTTAAACATCAGACAGCGCGTGTCTTGGGTAACTGAGCATACAGGTGGACTGCTCTCCTTAGTAAAGTAAAAAGAAATTGATCCTAGGATAAAAACAAAAGGTTTTGAAGCTGAGTTACCTTTCTGTAATGGGGAAGTACTAAAGAGGGTGGCATATGTGTGCAGTGTATATAGTGTTTTTAGCACAAATTGTTGGGCAGTATAATTAGTTTTTTGCAGGCTAGCTGTAAGTGTGCTGGAAAATGTGTGTGTTTGTACTGTGGAAAGCCCTTTCATGTGCACCTTGCTTTAAAAGCTAGGTACACATTGATTTGTGTGCTTGCCATATTTCTTTGTCCTCTGATTTGAGGAGCACAATCACAAAAAAGGTGGAAATTAGCGAGCACTTTAAGTTAATTTTGGAGTGAAGAGGATTTTACGGATTTATTATAGACTTTATTATGTGAGACACAGTATTGGACACTATTATATACCGTAGATACTGTTAATGTTGTGATAAATTGTTTTCGGAGAATTTATTCATTAGGGTGTTTGAGCGCTGCAGATGATAATGTGTGCATACTTTCCAGTTGATGCATGTCAAAACACTTATTTGTAGCAGCCTTAGGTCAAAGTAATTAAGGGTGATTACATTGGGAACTGTTTATAGCCCTTCAAATTTATTATATATATATATATTTTATATATATAATTACTGTTGCAGTAATCGAGAAAGTATTTACCTTACAGACAGTACATGTATTGGTTAACCGAGCATACAGGTGGTCTGCTCTCCTTAGTAAAGTAAAAAGAAATTGATCCTAGGATAAAAACAAAGCTTTTAAAGCTGAGTTAGCTTTCTGTAATGGGTAGGTACTAAAGAGGGTGTGTGCAATGAAAACCTTTGTTTTTAGCGCAAATTGTTAGGCAATGTCATTTTTTTTTTAACCCTTTCGCAGCGAAGGACTTACCTACTACATTATTAACAGCATGGCCCTGTAAACAGACTCGGGACTGCCGCTTTTACAATGGAAGCGATTCTGGTAGCTCAGCTGCCGCCAGATCGCTTTTATGGGCTGGTAAAGTGTGATTGGGGGTAGTAGGCACATGACTTAACCTTCCAGCAGATGTGGCAAGAGAAAGTAATCACAAAGGTTAATTCCTTCAGTGAGAGATGGCTCAAATGCTGTAAAGTGGAAATGAGATTTACAT